TGTGTGTGTGTGTGTGTGTGTGTGTGTGTGTGTGTGTGTGTGTGTGTGTGTGTGTGTGTGTGTGTGTGTCGGCTCGAATGACACTAAAGTTCATTGATTTAATGCCGTGCATGTTAACATTTTGGTGGTGGCACAGCCTGCTCTTCTTCCGTCCATTGCATCCCTCCCTCCTTCTCCTTTTAACCCCACCGTTCCTGCATCCCTCCACCTTCCTCCTCTCTCCATCCTCTTCTTGACACATGTGTTGGACTGATTTTTGCATCTGTTTCCTGAATGATAAAAACAATCACATGAGCCTCTGCTTGTTTCGGTCTGGTTTGTTCTTCATGTGATCCGTGCTGCCGCTGAGACAAACGCAGACTCCCTGAGACAGATCACACAGCTTAATCCTGACCAGCTCAACTCCAAGTTCAATTATTTTGGCAATGTCTTTTCTTTCGATCGGGGAGTTTGTCCGATGTCCAGTGGCTTCACGGACTGGTTTCTTTATTGTTGAATGACAGCTCAGAGATTTCTCACCATAATTCACCCAAAATTCGTCCCATCCATCCAGTTTCAAAAACACCTCTCCAGTTCAGATTTGCGAGTGGTCTGGAGCTAATCCCAGCTGACTTTATGTGAGTCTATCCCACCCTGGACTTTTACCAGTTGAAATTTCTGAGTTGTCACTCTGGAGGACTGTAATCTGTGGGCTGTAACTGGGTGCTGCAATCACTTTCTCCTGCTTCCTGTATGATTTTATTTACCCATCTTGACCACATCAGGCCTCTGGTGATGATTGCTGAGACTTGTAGGTCATTCTCCCACTCCTTGACTTCTTATTCACCACCCGCTCATCAATCCACACACCCGCCCATACCGTTTGAACAAATGGCACAGGTGCTACTAACATTCATCTTCCTCACACACTGCATGCATGCTGTGATCAACCAAAACCCGTAGCGACTGAGCAAGGATAAAAACAGGGATGAAGTGAATGTGGAAACAGCTGGATCTTCTCCAGCCTGATGAAATGCACTTTTAGGATTGAATTACACTTTTTTTTCAGTAAACAAATGTGCAGCATGTGTATTTCTCTTTAATTCTGGCCTTGAATTTTTATACACTGACTATAATATATAAAGTGTCACTAAGCTTTCTAAATTTTTATCTATCACGGCTATTATTCCTTTACCTTCTCTAATCTGTTTTTGAGCCTTATATTTATATTTTACCCTCTTTTTTTGCCTCCTTTTTCTTATGCTCCACCAGCGTCACCATTTTTAAAAAATGCAGTAAATTTATATGACAGAAGAGTCCAACTGTAAGGCAGCAGTTTCTGCGGACTACAATGTTTGCAGATGACACTGTGATCTGTAGTGAGAGGCGGGAGCAGGTGGAAGGGACCCTGGAGAGGTGGAGGTCTGCTCTGGGGAGAAAAGGGAAAGTCAGTATAAGCAGGGCAGAATACATGTCTGTGAATGAGAGGGAGACCGGTGGAAAGGTGAACATGCAAGAAGCAAAGGTGGTCAAAGAGTGCAGTCAAGTGGGAGTGGGTGGAGACGAGTGTCAGAGGTGATTTGTGACAGAAGGATAACCGCAAGTGGGAAAGAGAAGATTTAAAAAATGTTAGTGAGACCTGAAATGGTGTATGGTTTGAAGACAAAAGAACAGGAGGTCGAGCTGAAGACTTTAAGGTTTTCATTGTGAAAGTCCAGGATGGATAAAATTAGACAATTATTTTGTGTGTCAGAACAATGAGGCGACAGCTAAATGTCACAGCTGCCACCAAAGGCAGACTGTAGTGTAAACGCTGTCTCCAGGTGGAAAACCGGAGGAGTGATACGTCTCATGTTGTGCAGGTGTCACCTTCTCGCCTAAAGAAGTACAAAGCTTTAAAAAGATTTAAAGATCTACTTTCAATATAAGGACTGATGTCCCTTATCGACTGTGTGCACATTTATATGCATAACAGCAGATTAGATTAACTTTGAAAAAAGAAAACTGAGGTCATTAGTTGCATCTGATCAGCTCTGATGCTACTCTGCTTCACACTGTACTGAGAGTCCAGATCTGCTCTGCTCAGTGAATATCATTTAATGTGATTTTTCAAGGTGCTGATGCTATTTTCTCACCTTTGCTTCAGTAAAATAATCCTCCCATTCTCTCCTTTTCCTCTCACCTTCTCTCCTTCCTTTCTCCATTCCCCTCCTCTGCTCTTTGCGTCTCCTGATTGGCTAACAGTGTGTTTCGTGTGTATTTCGGACTCTAGGGTGACGTGGGTCTTCCCGGACCCAGGGGTAGTCCCGGCGACACGTCGCTAAGCGGCCCAAAAACACTCACTATCTACAAAGGAGATAAGGTAACACAGCAAAGGAAGGGAAGGAGCGAAGGTTTTTGAGCTAACACAAAAGACACACAAAAACACACGCAAGGATGTGGTGGGGGTTTCACTGCAGAAAGTAACCACAAAAAAAGAAGTGCAACGATGCAGCAGTAGGCAGGTCAAAGGTCTAATAAAGAAGAGGAGCAGTGATTGCAGCAAACCTTACAAACCTCAGAGAGGAGGACGTGCTGGAGGGAGGAAACAAGGAGCCGAGGGAGGACGTGAGGAGACGCGGGGAGAGGTGGAGGAGAGGTCGGTCATCACTGTCCAGACTCACAGAGAGCAGCAGTCGTGCATCTTTAATCAGAATTTGGAGAAAAAATCATTTACATTTTTCAGCCAACCTGAATTTTTTTTATTAAGATCATTTAAGAAATACAGTATTTATCCCATATTTGTTTTACAGCTGTAATAAAAGTAATGAAAGCAACACAGATGCTGCAGACTGTGAGTGTGAGAGCCAAACTATGGCATTAAAGGTGCTGTATCATTAACTGCTGGAAAACCACTGATTTAGTTTAGGTTCAGTAAAAATTGCTCTGCACTAGACTAGGAAGCTTTTATTGTGAAAGGTGTTTGGATAAAATAGTTTTTCTTCCTTGGGATGTGTTGTCATTGTGCAATGTGTTTGAGGCTTATAACGTTTATGCATTAAACTGCAGTCTAGTGAACACGGCAAAAGGGACCCTAGTGAAAAGTTTCTGTTATAAACTTTTATAAACTTTTATAAACTGTTATAAACGCAGCATGTCTGAGCTTTCAAGTTCAAACTATTGATCCTAAAGCTGCCCGTTGGATAAAAAGTTTATTTTTTGGTAGCTTTCAAACACATGATGCTGACTGACACATCTTGAGTACAGACAATTTTGGAAACATGAGGAGATCTACCAAAAGAAATCAAATCTGTTTAGTTATAATTAATTAAAAACCTTCTGCATACCAATGTTAAAATTTAATCTGACTATTACTGTCTGAACCTCCTTCAAAGTTTCTGTAAGTAGGATTAAAGTTGTAAAAAAACAAACAAACACCAGCCTCTCTTCATCCTCATCCATAAAGCTCCTCGCTCCTCTCCTCGGTCTGCGCTCTCTTCAGCCGCTTCCTGCGCGGCCTCATGCCGTCCATCCTCCAGTCGACAGTCTGCCCTCTCTTCCCCTAAACGTTCCAAAAGCTGGGGTTTTTCTTTCCCGCGCTTCGTCAGCGTAAACAGCTCTTTCTTCCTTGGTCACCGCATCCAGGGCGACATGGGCTTGCCTGGTGACCCCGGCCAGCCAATGATCAATGGCGTTGTGGAGTTTGTGGGTTTTCCCAAAGGAGACAAAGGAATGCAGGTTTGTTGGGAAACACAAGTCATAATTAGCGTTTTATTTCACTGTCACAAAAAAATCAGTTTCAAACATAAAAAAGTCATTTTAATGGTGGCAACAGCCTGAAAGTGATCGACAACATCATGTGTTGGTAAACTTGTATGCTTCACTTTGTAAAAATTATAGAAAATTATACTTTTCTCCCAGGTTCACTGCTTTATGAATCAGAGAAACTGACATTTTTCTTTGGTGTAACCGACACATCCAAACCAAGACTTCCTGTTATGTCCATGTGTCACTGGGAAAAGTAGATTTTTAATTATTGCCACATGACAGCGATGGTCATCTGGCAGATTTCTTGAAAAGCGAGCTCTCTATTTGCCCAACACATATTGTTTTTGCTTCGTGCAACCAAAGCACGCTACAGCGTGGCTGATCAATATAAACACAAGCAAAAAGCTTCCTGTCCTTTACCAAGACTTTCTGCGAATGCATCTAACTTCTGTTTGTAGAGGCGAGCAGAATAGTTTCTGAGCCTATGGCCACTCAGAAAGTTAAAAACCAACACTATACCAATGCTGCAGCTTTATATTGAACGCATTTAAACTCACAACACTAATATCTAGTTTTGTAACGCTATCGCTAATGTCGGGGAACATTTCCCCTGATATAATAAATCAGTTAAAACATGCTTCCCAAAACGTATTAAAGTAGAAAAATGCACGGCAAAAAAGACTCTTCTTTTATTTCCCTTCTACAAAAAAAGGTATCAAAGAGAAAAAAATCTACAAAAATAAAAGAAAAATGGAAACTTTTTCCTGGGAAATGTGATCCTTTTCCAGGGAGGTGACAGACTCCCTGCATCACTGAAAACCGTAGGATAGATAAACAACAACAACAAAAAATGGGAAGGGTGAAGGTGACCAGCTGACTATATACCTTTTGAGCATATGAATTCCCCTGGGAAATACCACTGAGTGATATTTACTCACCGCGTGGGTGCAAATCACCCCATGTTAGTGCTTTAGGGTCTAAACAGACAGCAGCAGCCACATTAAGCTGTTAAATGACGAGCTGCATGAGACCGTTTTCTTAGCAAGGTGTTGTTTTTATCAGACTGAAGCAGGATTAAATCAGATCACAGCCGCACAGCGATGGAAAAAAGCCACATACGTCACGATAATGACAATCCTTTCTTTTGGTAGCTCTTGCTCCGAGACCTCAGTGATCTCCAGACTTTTATAAGACCTTTTGCATGCCTGAGTCACTAAAAGTTTCACAGCTGGAAGGTCAAAATAATAAACCTCAGGCTACGTGAATAAGAGACAAATGGAAGGAAAAGATGTGGAAAAATGACATCTTTAATTCCACTTCATCAAAACTGTAAATTAGGGAGGGACTAACAGTCACTGTTATTAAATTACATGCAACAGACTTGAGGCACAACAGTGCTGCATGTATTTCAACAAGAGGAGTACGTCTACTTCACTGTCCAACAAACTATGACTGTCGCAGACGATGCTGATTTTAGCACAATTAAATACAACCCCACTTATCCCCAAAATTGTGACGCTTTAAATGTGCTCTAGATAAGAACTGAATGCAATGATTTGCAAATATTTTATGAATAACTGAGAAAATGCGTAATTTTAAGAAAAACTGGCAAAAGGTGAGTAACATGATTGGATATAAAAAGAGCCTCTCAGAAGTAATGCAGAGCAGAGGTTCAACAATTTGCAAATTGTCGAATAATTTCAGAATAATGTGCTTCAATATCAAATTATTAATACTTAAAATATGTCGTCATCTACAGTGCATAATATCAAAAGATTTGGAGAATCTGGGGGAATCCAAAAATTGCTATTGGTTGTCTGTGATCTCTGGGTGCTCAGACGGCGCAGCATTAAAAACAGGAATGATTCACTCAGGAAAATCATTCCATGGGCTCAGGAACACTTCTACAAATTCATCCACAAAATGCCGGTTAAAGCTCTACCGCGCAAAGAAGAAACCTCGCGTGAACAGGATCCATGATATGTTAAAGGCAATAAATGAAACAAAAACAAATGGGGATGGAGTGCGTAACCAGGATGTATTTTTTGCTGTTGTTTACTTTGCTCTCTCGTTGCCTCTCTCAAAGGGTGACCCCGGTCCAAAGGGAATTAAAGGATACCCTGGAATACCTGGCCTACCTGTAAGTATTCAAACAGTTTGCTTGTTTATTTTTTATTTCATGCCCACCATGCAAGATGCATTTTAGGAGAAATTTTGATTCAGGAGACCTTCCTTTTTGTCGCTTAATCACAGGGACCCTTTGGCTATCCTGGAGAATATGGAGAAAAGGGCATTCCTGGATACCCCGGGGGCAGAGTAAGACTCTGTGCTTTTTGGCTTCAGTTGCAGTGCATTTAGTGACATTACTGTTTGAAATTCCTTCCGTATTTCCCTTTGTGAGGGGAACTCCTCTCACCATTTCCTCTTCTTCTGTGGTGGGTGTTGTTTGTGTTTCCGCCATGCAGGGGGCTCCAGGGTTTAACGGACCGCCCGGCGTTCCAGGACTGCAGGTAGGGTTTGTAAGACTGTAAGCGCAGAGTTTTAGTTCTCACATTAATTATGTGCCACAGAAAATACTCAGCTGGCTTACAGGTGAAAGTAATTGTTTCTTTGCCTTCATCCCCACAGTTATCCTCTTATATTAGACACATTTTCTTTCCTACATAGAACATAGAAATGTTTTTCTCTTAAACAAATATAATTTCACCTTTATTTAGTGAATTGGGGTTTCATGTAAAAATGTAGTTGATGGTCTTGAATCATAGAAAAAAAGAGCAACACATGTGTTGCCCTTACTCCATGTTAATAATCATATTCATGTGCATTCACAACCAAAAAGTCCCACAAAAACCAAGAAGAAATACAGTACATACTTCGAAGTACACTTCAGATAACCTCATAATATCTATAGGAAACTCAGTAGTTATTGCATCCTCTTATTTTCTAACTCATGACAAAATATATATATTATTGTCAGTATAGACACCCCTGCTGCACGGCATGATAGCCATTAGTCTTTAAACCTGTACAGTATGTTAAATTTAGATTAATTTTTCTTCTTCCACCCAGGGACCCAAAGGACGTCCAGGCACCCCAGGCTCATCGGGATACCCAGGATTCAAGGTAGAATCATTGTTCCTCTAAAGCAGTTGTATAGTACAAGTCAGGGGTATTTTCTTTCAGCTGTGTTTTCCTATATCCTAATTATTATAAAGAGACATCAACATTTCTTACTAAAAAGAAGTTTTATATCATTTGTAATTAGTGAACCTGTGAATTTATAACACCACAATATATCAGATCCACACGCCGTAGGCATAAAGGCAGCAGCTGAAAGGGCAAAGTTTGTATAAAGCTTCTCTGCTATTTCACCAGCAGATGGGGCTACTGTGCTCACACTGATGGTAACAATTTTTATTGCTCTATCTGTAAAATATACTACTCTTGTTACAGAGGTAATGATGACTTGTAAAAGCTTAATATTTTTTGTAAGGATATTTTTTAATATAAAACATTAACAATAATTAAGTTGCCTAATCACGGATCTAAGTTCATTTATAAGGAGTACCCTAGCTTAGCAGTTACAGGACATTTCATTAAACCCTTTTGACTTCTTGGTAACGCAAATATGTAATCAGCCAATAATATGGCAGCAGTTGTATTTGGACATGTTGACATGGTCACCTGATGACCTGCTGAGGTTCAAACCGAGCAAAGAATGAGGAAGAAAGGTGGGTGAAGATGCCTTGTTAATATCAAAGGAGAGTGGCTTGACTACTCTGAGCTGAGAAGAAGGCAGTAACTCAACAACCGCTCATTACAGCCAGAAGAGCAAACGAGCATCACTGAAAGCACAAAATGTTAATATCACTCCGCCACAATGACTCATTTTCAGCTGGCACCCTCTGGGTTTTATGGTTAGCTAACTAAAAATGGCTACTTATCTATATGTTGGTTTAGAGAGATGGTACCATCAATATTTCTGCTCTAACCTGTTTTTTGGGTACATCTTGTAGGGAGACCAGGGAGACCCCGGACCCCCAGGACCTAGCTCTTTTGTTAATGGGGGTTATGCTATTCAAGGTAACATGAACACCTTGAGTTTTTTTACACGTGTTCCTGTGAACCACCTGCCCTTTAACCACCTCTTCTGTGATTGGTTGCAGGACCTCTAGGGGACTTGGGTTTACCTGGCTTTCCAGGAACCCGGGGTGACCAGGGACCTCGAGGCTTTCCAGGACCTCCCGGCCAACCAGGACCTGATCGTTTTGGTCCAGGTAATACACACAAATTCACACTGATCATGGAGGATTAACCACCATCAGTAATGATCTTTATACAACAGAAGCTGTCTGTGCACACAGGTCTTCAAGGTCCTCCTGGGCCCAAAGGTGTAAAAGGAGAAGTGGGTGACCCCGGCTTACAACCCACTGGTTTTGAAGGTTTCCCAGGACTCCCTGGGCCCCCAGGACCCAGTGGCCTTCCTGGAGCTCAAGGCCCTCCAGGTACATTTACACAAAAACAGCAGATAAAGCTCTGTGGTCCTTCCCTCTCAGGCAAGCAGAAGTAGAAACCGAATATTTGAAAGTACAGCTTTCTTTTTATTTTCCTCCTAATTTTCTTATACATGTTTGATCTTTGACTGTTGTGTAAGTTGTGCTCAGTCTCTGTTACTGTTGGGGTTATGGGGATTGAAGCAAAATATTTTTCAGTATATTTAAAAATAGGTTTTTACATTTTAAACACAAAATTCAACTACTCGGTAGTGAAAGACAAGACATAGAAACACTTTCAAATATAACAGCTGACTGACTTTGCTGTCCTCCAAGGCACAAACGCTGAGCCCTGCTACATCTATCCTGATACAGGTCAGTCCTACAGGTATCCCAAAGGCAGCCATATTTCTTTGAAACTCGCCAGCAACAATCACGCTGCCAAAGTGAAATTCAAAACCGCAGACTCAACTTTCACAGCCAGCATCTAGCTGCCACAATGCTTTTATTTGAATCACTTCTGTGCTGTGGAGGGAGCGGTTGTTAGTATAGAGTGTAGCCAGCTTCAGTCTTGGATATGAGAGGCTCTCTCTACTGATCCAAGCTGCTTCTCTCATCTCTGGTGACAAGGTGTCGCCTGCTGTGAACGTAATTCACAGATCTCACGTGGACATTAACGCTTGCTAGCAAAAGATTTTTTTTAATGACTGTTTATTTGTAAAACAAACACATGGAAACACAGGGAGAAACAGTCTGTGTAACGTATTGGAAGGAAATCATTGGAAAAACATCCAAAGGTGGTTATAAGTAGGGCTGCCACGATTAGTCGACTAGTCACGATTACGTCGACTATCAAAATCGTCGACGACTGATTTAATAGTCGACGCGTCGTTTGAAGCTTTGTAAGATCCCAAAAGACGCAGGAATAA